CCAGCGTATCAATATTCTGCTGATCGTGACCATATGCAGTTCTATGGTGCGGAGGCTGGCCGCGACGGGTCAACTATACGTTGATGCGGCGCGCCGCTGTCCGACAGCGCGCGCTGCTTGCGCCCATACGTGGACAACTTGTGGCAGAGGCAAAGTCAGGGAAGTACAACAACCGACAATTCCACGATCTTGCTCTCCAGAGAGAGCAGGTGACTGCGCAGGTCAAGGGAACCTACGCTAACGTTGTGAGAAGAGGGCGAACAAGTGGGTATGGGAATGGGAAAATAGTCTTGTGGAGGAAGAAGAGACAGGACCACACTCTTGTCATATTTGATGACGAGACTGTCGAAAGATTGCCCCTCAAAGAGGCAGGGGGTGAAGTAAGCGGTGACGGTGAGTTTGGAAAGGGTGGCTTCACCACCATGGTGGCCAACAAGGGTGGTACCAATCGAAATGGTGGATTTAGGAAGAGGAGGCCACACTCCTTCCCTGAACATCCTGGCATTGCGTCTGGCTGGCCCTGGGAGAAGATGGGCCTAACCCATACGAAATGGCAGGAGACAATGGATAATGGGCAGTGCTTGAAGTGCGGCACTGAGGGACACATCATTGCATGGTGTCCTCTCATCCGGAACCTAAAATGGAGCAGCCAGTAGGAGTAGCATCTGCTCCTACTGAGTTGGCAAGTTAAGACAAAGGTAAGGCGCCTATAACCCGTTTCAACCCCCCAACTCGCAAGGTAGAGGAGGACTCTTCTACAACCGACACCCAAAACACCCTGAAAAAGTTTAGAGTTTTGTCTCACTGGGTGATTCCCTTGATTAACTTGGTTGTGAACTCGTAGTCTTACGAAGTTCATGAACTAAGAAAGTAAAGTCCAGGGGTGAATTGATGATCGTTGACGTAGAGATTGCGTGCACCCGAGTAAGTGCCTTGTTAGATCCTGGTCTACACGGTTTTATATCTCAGAAAAGGCAATTCGTAAGTTGCGTCTGGGAATGAGAGTGCAGGATCTGCCGAGATCTATCTCGTCAATGCTTGCGGACAAAAGCACAATAATTGTCTCTCAATTTGTTGATCGTGTAAAATGTTATTGTAGAACTAAGGAAGGAAAAATAATTTTGCATAAAATTACCTTCCTTGTCGAGAAGAATCTTGCTTTTGACATGATTCTGGGAATGGATTGGCACAAGGAGGCCGACCCGGAAGTCAAGTTCAAAACAAGATTGTCAAATTGAAGGATGAAAAATCCAAAATGGAATCGATTAAATTGTTTCACAAGTCTAGTTCTGACTCATCATTGCCTTTCTGTTGTAAGAGTCCACCTGCCTTTCGAAGTATGGCAACGAAAAAGAATTTGGTACAAGATGTAATGATGATACTCATCAAACGAGTAGGTGAATGTTCTTCGTCATATCCTCCTCCTATTGATAAACTACTTGATGAATATAAGAACTTGCAGACTGAACCAATGAGAGTAACTGACTGTGTTATAAAGCACACGATTGAAATCATTCCTAGAAGTAAGATTCCTAAGGGGCCGATCTATTGAATGTCTCCAAGAGAATTAAAAGAACTTGAAAAGCAACTGCACGAGTTTACTGAAAAAGGATGGATCCGACCGAGTTTCTCTCCCTACGGTGCCCCTCTCTTATTCGTACCTAAAAAGGAAGGAAAACTTAGATTGTGCATTGATTATCGAGGACTGAATTTCGTAACTATCAAGAATGCGGAACCTCTTCCTCGTATTGATGATCTTCTCGATCAACTGCAGGGTTGCAAGTACTTCAGTAAGAATGATCTTAAGTCAGGATACCACCAGATCGAGGTGGCACCTGAAGATCAACACAAGACGACGTTCAGAACAAGGTATGGGTATTACGAGTTTGTTGTCATGCCTTTTGGATTGACTAACGCCCCCGCAACCTTTCAGAGGTCAATGAACAAACTGTTTAGGCAGTGGCTAGATCAATCCATAGTGGTGTATCTCGATAATATCGTTGTCTATAGTAAGACGTTGGAAGACCATGAGAAACACCTACGAATGGTTTTAGGGAAACTAAGAGAAGGTAACTACAAGTTAAATCCTAAGAAGTCAGAGGTTACTAAGTTTGAGGACTCTATCTTGGACACATAGTAAATGAAGAGGGACGTAGGCCCGAAGAAAAGAAAATCACAGCAATTAGAGATTGGCACGAACCCAATACAGTTACTGAGTTGCGATCTTTCCTAGAACTTGCTAGCTATTACAGGAAGTTCGTGAGAAACTTCTCCCTTATAACTGCATCCATGAGAAGATTGTTGAAGAAAGAAAAACCTTGGTTATGGGACAAAAACTATGAGTCCGAGTTTACGAAGCTTAAACACACACTAACTCACTACCCTGTCTTAAAGATTGTTGATCCATCACTTCCCTTCATTGTCGCAACTGATGCTAGTCAGTTTGGAATTGGGGTTGTGGTACAGCAAGATGATGGGAAAGGCTATAGACGTATAGCGTTCATGTCTAAACGCCTTTCATCTGCTAAGGTAGCTAACTCCACCTACTATTCACTGACCTACAATGGCAAAAGCTAATGGACGCCTATGGCATAAGACTGACAATGTCATCAGGTAGACACCCTGAAATGAATGGACAAACTGATCAAATGAACAAACCGTGCCAACAACTTTTGCGAATGTATGTTAGGCCCGATCAAATTGACTCGGATGAGCACCTACCAAAGATTGGAAGTGCCTACAACAATAGTGTTCATACTGTTACTGGCATAACACCTAACACACTTCAGAAAGGTTGGAAACCTAGACGTCCCATTGTGGCGTTGACTAGGGAGCAAGTCCAACGACTACCCGCAAGAACCAGAAAGTTTGCAATTTTGTATGAGCAAGACATAGCCAAATCAAAGGAAAATATACAGAAAGTCCAACTACAGATGATCCAACAAGCAAATAAGCATCGTCAACCATCTCAGTTCCAAGAAGGAGATCTAGTTTGGGTAAAGTTTAAAGAATTCTCCGTCAAAGAAAATGTGTCTCAGAAATTGCTACCTTACTACTATGGACCCTGGGAAGTTCTCAAGGTGATAGGGGACACTGATGGACCGTCATATCGAATTGCCGTACCCCCTCACCTCAAGACATACCTCTTCCATGTTTCCAAACTGCTACCATATGTTGAAGGCCACGAGTTTTCCAATCGAGCATCCATATTTCCTCCCTCTATGGACGGAGGTTATGAAGTTGAGCGAATATTGGAACATGGATACTTTTCTAAAGGTGGCAGAGGAAGACCACAAAAGCAGTATAAGGTAAAAGTTCAAGACTCAACTTGTCTCAGAATCACAATGGTTCACTAAGAAAGACCTTCTACCTACTGCACCCGATATTCTCGTGACATATGAGCGTGAGTTAAAAGAGAACCGAGCCTAAAGAAGTAGTTTTTGCGATGGAACTCGAAATTGGGCCCGATGGAATGCAATAACTGACCTCAAAATCATGCATCAGTCGTGGGCTAAGGGTCGCCCGTCGGTCTAAGGGCCCTAACAGGGGTCAACGGCCAGACCCAAGCCCTGAAAAAGGCTTTAACAAAGGTCTGCTATCATGGGTACCCGAAGCAAGGCCTAAAACTGGGCTCTCGAGGCCCAACATGCGACAGTTGACCATGGAAAGTCAAAGGTCAACAGCAACTTAGAAATTCGGGCTCATGAGTCAAAGTCAATATGAATCCAGCCCGGGCCACCGATCAGACACACACTTTGCTGTTTGCAGGTATATGTCAAGAATCAAAACCCAGTGGGAATCTGCAACTGTCTGGTATCCAGGCCATTGACCGTGAGTCGTTCTGGGCCATCGCATCTATGAGACCAAAGGCTGGTCAACCGAAGTCAACACTATATGTTGACCAACATTCAGTCTTGCACTTGCTTGACTTTGGCTTGACGTTGGCTCTATGCTAGCTGGACGCTAGCACTACGCTGGCTCGTCGCTAGCTCTACGCTGGCTTGATATTGGACGTCGACGCGAGACTGCTACTGCTTTGCGCTGGCTCCATTCTCTGTTTTCGGTGCCAACTCCATTCTTCATTATGTACACGTGGCTCTTGCCACAATGTCTACGACATTGATGGGATATTGGTGAGGAGGAGGATCAGGGCCGTCACGATCGTGTCGACATTCTGCTCTTTTGTTGCCTTCAGAAGGAGTCTGCACCGTGTGCGCCATGTTGAGATATGTTCGATGTCAGAGCGTGTCAAAGGAAACTGTCCGCTGACGTGGCGAGTAGGAGATGCCCGAAGGAGGAGTGGGACTGTGAGGGAGATCTATCTGCTGAGCTGATGGGTACTTTTTCTTCCACCCCCTCAGTCCAATCTCCCTCTCGTCACTCTCTTCGCTCGTTATGTGACAATGCACTCTTGATTACATGTACGATTTGGAGACATTGAAACTGCATTGAAACATTATGTACTTCGACATTGTTGAGTTTTCCTCTTGACAAAGTTCATTGCACTTATTGCAGATTGATTTGGGGGAAACAGATAAGAGAATGTGGGACTGTACTCGCTCAATTTCCAGAGAATTCTCCATTAAGGAGCTTCACCATGTGATTTAGGACCTGGAACTGATGGCCTTTCCGCATTTTGGTACTACTATATATGTATCTGTTATTGCTAGTGGTAAATAGGACTGACTTAGTTTAAATACTTCTGGTCACTCTCTCTCTCTCTCTCTCTCTCTCTCTCTCTCTCTCTCTCTCTCTCTCTCTCTCTCTCTCTCTCTCTCTCTCTCTCTCTCTCTCTCTCTCTCTCTCTCTCTCTCTCTCTCTCTCTCTCTCTCTCTCTCTCCACACACACACACACACATACACGCCCTGTTTTGTAGTGCAATAACTCGGCTTAAATCATGCATCAGTCGTGGGCCGTGGGTCGTCACTTTGGTCAAAGGGCCGAAATAAGGGCCGAAATAGGGGTCAAAGACCACACATAAGTCATGCAAATTGCCTGAAAGAAGGCCTGCTATTGTGGGGTACCCGAAACAAGGCCTAAACTGGCCTTCAGAGGCCCAACGTGCGACAGTTGACCAAGGAAAGTCAACAATCAACAGCAGCTTGGAAATTCAGGTCCACGAGTCAAAGTCAACATAGACCCTGTCCTGGTCGCCGATCAGACACACACCTTTGGCTGTTTGCAGGTATCCGTAAGGAATCAAGTCCAAGCGGGAGTCTGCAACTGTACAGGATCCAGGCCATTGGTTGCGGGACAATCTGGGCCATCGTATCTGAGAGACTAGAGGCTGGTCAACCGGGGTCAACACTATAAGTTGACCCAGCCCCTGCTGACCGACATTCAATCTTGCACATGTTGCTTGACGCTGGCACTACGCTG